ACACACACACACACACACACACACACACACACACACACACACATTACTTTAAAGCCTCAGAATTCCTCTATTAAAGTCTGTTAATTGTGAAAATTCACTAAATTGAACGTGAGTTCACAGCAGTCACAGGGAGCCAATTAAGCGAGGGCAGATAAGCTTTGTGGAAACATTACAGGACATTATACTAATGATATTTGAATTTGCGGGGGGCACAGAAAGCCTCTTTTGAGTCAGTGATTAGGAGGCTACAATGTATGCCTCCCACACACACTTTAAGAAGCACAACAGTGTAGTACAAGGGATTCAGATGTGTCCACCTACTCAGTGAATCTCATAAAACGGTCATTAAACAAACCAAGGTGCACAGTTTCATGCACTCACACCGAGTAAATAACATCTGTGAAGGCTGGAAATTAAACCGCAAAAGAAAATGAAATTACATAACGTGCTGTCTTTGTGTTGGGTTCTTGTTTTTTGTTTTTTTTTCCCCCCACTTTTTTTTTWAATCCAAACCAAGAAACCACCCAAGCCACGACAAATTGCACTGGAGAGAAGGAAAAAGATATGCCTCTTTTCATCAGTGTCCTCCATCAGAAATCTCAGAAGTGCACTAAAGGGAGCTCAAAGGACAGCTGTAAGATAGCCTTGATAAAAAATAAATAAACTAAAAACACCACAAAGTCAGGGATTTTTCCTTCTCTCTTCACGGCGCTTGTTTCAGTAAATAACTGAGGGAACATTTATCTATCCAGTGCGAGATCCAGACTTATTGAAATCTTAACAACCATCCTGCTCCTGATGAAAGCATACAGTAATTGATGAGCTGTCAAAGGTATGAAACAGAATTTGGGATTAGACGTTTCCCGTCGCACATCGTTTGAAAGTCCTGCGGTGCTGTTCCACAGTGCACTGCAAAGATCAGGTGTTTTCTATCGGCAGGGTTACAGTTTCATTCTGATCGACCGAAACAAAAAGGGTCAACGACACATCATCAACAGGCTGAGATTTTTACCTCCTGTTGTTTTAAGTTTGAAATTTCATGCCACCTTTCTCTGGTTCTTTGGCCTGTGTTTGCTCTCAGACATGACCTGCAAAGCTAACAAGAGAAGAAGCTGGAATTGTGTGGTGCGGTGAAGAATTGGAATAGTGGGACTTTCTTAAGACGATCTCTTCACTGAGAACGAGAGTTAGAATTGGTCTACATTAATAAAATCACATCTCCTTGATGTGGGCACATGAGAAACTCTGAGTTGTAGAAGGGAAGCTACCATTGATCAATCCTTTATTTTATATCTGCTTGCACTTAAGGATGAGTTAAACAAAAGGAAAGATTATAACATCCTTATTCTTGATTTTCATGTAATCAGATTGGCATTTTAAAGAACGTTCCTCCTGGTAACACCCAACACTAGCTAAACATTAGTATTTCTGTCAGTCCAGAGTCCCAGATATACCTTCCTAATTATCTTCTCATTAGGCCATAAAGACATTTTCCTCTCGTTTTCTGATCTTGCATTATAATTTCCCTCCATTTCTTCACCCGTGCGGTAGCAGCATCCTTCGCGGCGCACATTGCTCATTTAGGATCACACTGTGTGCGGTTTCACTGAGAGGACCTCGGCGCACGGCGAGCATCATTACCGTGCTCTTCAAGCCAATGAGTCACGCTCTCACACTATAGCACTGCTGTCAAACGGTCTCCAAGCAAGGAGCAGCACCAAGGTGAGAGGACGCAGGAGACGGAGCCTGAGCTTTTTACGGTGCGACACCGGAGGAGGTTTCCATGCTTTTCATTCTGTCGGGTGTCAGTTTTACTGTTTCCCCCAGTCATTCCCAATGGGGGTTGTGATGCACCAAAYGGAGGAGGGTCCTCAGAAAATCAAATCAACTTTTAGAAGGATTTAGCCTTAACTGTTACAGAGAGATGAAAAAAAAATCATAAACGATAAAACAATTAATATAATGGTTGACAAATGTCTGTTTTTTTTCTACTTAGTTTGGGTCACAAACTTTTATTTTAAGGGTCAAAAGCTGAAACGTTTGAGAATCACTGCTAAAATTCCAACAGGTCCACAATGATCTGAAGCCACTTCTCTAATTAGATGACAATAAGGCAAAATAAACTTAAGCTTCTCAGCTTTTGTTAAAACTTTAAATGACACTAATTTATGACTCCGGATGCAGAAAGCTATTAAAGCCAGATGTTCTCTGGAGAAAACATTGGCCTTAATTGAGAAAATCAAATTTCTAAAAAGCTTTTTTATGTCAAACCACCTTTTTTTCCACCCCCCAAAAAAAGGCGAGAGCTCAGATTCATTAGCCAGGCCAGCAGCTGCCCTCACATCTCCACACTACTGTACATGCAGGCAGCAAAAGCAGCCAGAGCAGATGCTGTTCTCCTGCTTGTAGCACTAATGGACTGGTGCAATGTCACAAGCACAGAAAATAACATTTACATAATAAACCTTTTAGCAATAATGCCAATTAACCCCACCCCCTCCTCACTGTAAAAAATGAAATGTTGGATTTACTTCACCATGTTATGTGACCTGGTTCCACTTAACTGAGTTGAGTAAAATCAAAGCAATATACCAGTTTTTTAACCAAAGAACATGAGCATGTTGCTTTGAATTTACTCAACTCAGTTAAGTGGAACCAGATCACATAACATGGTTAAGTAAATCCAACATTTCATTTGTTTACACCCAAGAATTTTTTTTTTGTTTGTTTGTTTCACACAAATTGGGGACTCAGGTCTCTCGCCACTGTGACTCCTGAAACTTTTCTAATCAAATAACGATGGAAGCTTYGAGGTGAGTTTTGCTGAAACAACTTGACATGCTGAGGGTGTAATAAAGCCCCAGTAATTCGGTGGCACCAGATAATCTCGTGTCGTGATAAAATATTMATGAGAGGGATGTTATTTAGGGTCAGAGCTGCTGTGGGTGTGTTAAACAGGTGCATGGCGGCTTCAWCATATGTGACTGAAATGATGTGAGCTGTAATCATTGACAAGGAGTGGATGGAAATCAGATGTCATGCAGCAGAGGGGTTGGTGAAGCATGTAATTAGACAGAGGACACTATTTCTCTTGTAGCAGTGACTTCCTTCACATTGCATGTTGCAGGTTAGATTTGCTCGTGAGATCAAACAAACTTATTAAGCAACATTTTGTGTGAAACAGAGATTAACAACTCAGAGCAAACAGGATCATTTGAAATTGTTCTTACCTCCCCAAAGTACTGCCATCAACYGAAGTACCAGGATGTGCAACATGTTTCCTTTAAACAGTCAGGGGGGGAAAATAAAGAATATCCCCTCAAAATTGATATGCAAGATCAAATTTCTTAGTGTGAGGAAGAAATGCCCATAWCCAGCATCAATAATAAAAAATAAAAATGCACATTTTCTGGGATGAATGTCATGCTTCACCCAGGAATTATAAAAGTTGGGTTTGGAAACAATTTCACAAGTTTCTAATCRGATTGATTTTAAGATTCAAAAACAGACAGGAGGGAACTTGAACCCAGCTTKGCATCACTCTTTTCTGCATCTTGACATGTCCAAAACCACGAGGTGCACTTTTCACTATTATTTTCGCAGAGGATGGATTTCAATTTATCCAAAATAAAAATAAAAAAAAGAAAAGAAAAAAAATTGTGTTGAATCCTCCTGTCTTCAGTTGTTCGGGTTGTCTGTGTTTTGCGCATCACCAGACTCCTGAAGTTGGCCGATGTGATGCGCAGCCAAAGTCCGACACTTGCAGACAATCAGAGTTGACTTGCAGACTTGCAGCATGTTTGAAAATGTGAAGGAAGAAAAAGTTGCACAGGAGAGCCGAACACATCCACACCGGTGCACCCCGGTCCTGAAAGTCTGGTGCGCCAACTCCAGAAGCAGCAGCAGCAGCAGCGCGGTGACAGCGCCAGCTTCCCTTTTCTTCTTCTCCTTTTTTTTTTTTTATGCCACTTCTAATTACACCTCCGGCTCCAAGTGGTTCATATATTCCGGTTTCCAGCCTCCATCATCTGTGTGTGTGTGTGTGTGTGTGTGCAGACAGGGTCGAGGCTGCAGAGTCTGGATCTACGCATCGTCCGTCCAATGCGCGTCGAGAGAGGGGAGGCAGCTGAGGGTCGCGTGTGTGTGTGTGTGNGGGGGGGCGCCTTTCTCTCCAGGAACATCAAACCCAACAGACACAATGTTGAGGGGAAAAAACACATTTATTATAACTATTTGCCTTTATCCAAACCAAACTGCGCGACAATCAGAGTTTTACCCAAAAAAGTCTTTATTAAAAAATGTTGGTAAATAACAATACTCTCTCTGCTCGAAAGAGGGTAAACTAACTGACAAATAAAAAAAGGAAAAGAAAAAAGTTGCTGAACACGTGCAACCGACCTCCATGAGTTCGCCACTTGGCAGGCACCAGCGACCCCGTGTGGGACAGGAAGTGAGTCTGCTGGCGGGGGAGGTGGGGGGGGGTGTTGAAGGCAGCAAGGCAGTGAGGTAAAAGCTACTGGATCTGTTTGTCTCTAAATTTATTGTAAAATTTATCACAAATTATTCAAGACAGGTGTTCATTAACGGATTTCCACACAGATTTGCTCGATGATGGAGTCCGATCTCTCCAGGTTTTTCAGACATTTTTTTTCTAAGAGGTCTCACCAGTTTGAATAAAAGTAAATAAATTGGCAAATATTAGTTTTATCCGTGTGTGTGTGTGTGTGTGTGTGTGTGTGTGTGTGTGTGTGTGTGTGTGTGTGTGTGCGCTTGATGGCTGGTTTGTTAGCAAAATATCACCACTGAACAAATGTTATTGTTAAACAGGTACAGATTATTACATGTTTATCTACAGGTTTGGACTCAATCAAAGATGGCTGACAAAACAAATTGAYCTTAAAAAAGGCTACAACTCAGAAAATGTTAAAAATATTGACCTAAAATCTGATGWGGTTGTAACAATGCTCTAGATGAGTCACCCTCAACACATGCAGTATTTTGAGCTCTTCCACAAAATCACATTTTGCCATTACTCAGCTTCTACGTTGTCTGTTTGCAAATTATTAAAACAAACACTGGAATGATTTTAAGGAAACTTTCAGGACAAAAAATATATGGATGTACAGTACGTGTACAACTGTTGAACTTTTGGAGTTCAAGATGCCACAGCTAATAAATATTAACAAAAATGGCTCTAAGTCAGTCAGTTTTACAGATACAGAGCTAAATGTGATGTGGTAGTAGGTGGGAGTCACCTCCAACACAATATGTGACCTCGTACAGAATCTTACAACATCGCATAAAATTTATTTTATTTAAAATTTTCTATATTTTACCAAAAAAGCTACAATATTTCTCATCMTAAAGCTTGGTCTTAGGCCTAAAAGGTGATAGGAAATCTAGAGGCTGCAGGTTCTGGCTGCTCTTGGATTCCAAAAACACTAAAACACAGTGATCTGGTGTTTGATTTAACCAGGAGTCACACATCATATTCTCTTTTCTGCATCAGAACCAGATGGTGTGTTCATGTGAAAAACAAAGGAAACTCTGTGAGCACTTAATACAGGAAAAAATCTGTTGCTTCACTTAAAATTTAATATTTTCTACGAAAAAATCTTTGCCCACCAGTGTTTCAGCTTTTCAGTTTTTTTTCTTTCAAACTTTTGTGTTTTTTTCCCTTCTTTTTGTACATGTAAATGTAACTCCTCATTCTTCATGTTTTTAGTGAGTTTATGTTTTAAATTGGTRTGCTGAAAGTTGTCATGGCTAAGAGATTTTTTTTTGACCAAAATTTAAACCATTTTTTCTGATTTGTCTTCTCTCTGTATGTTTTTTGTTTTTATTTCAAATTCCATTTTTATCTCCAGCTTTTGCTCTGGAGGCAAAAGCTATTTGCTCCTTTATAAAAATAATAAAATAACTAAAAAAAATTATTTTTTTATTCAGCTGCAAAGAGCATTAGAGGTGTTGGAGTGGGGGGACAAAAGTGTTGATGTGGAGCTGTCATTTCCCAGACAGTAATAAAAGACTGGAACATCGCTTACACAAAGGCTGACAGACGTCCAAACGTCTTTCCATCCACAGACCCACGCTCAGTCAAAGCCCACCATACGCAGAGGTCCATTCAGTTGCTGGAGAACAGAGCCAGCACCAGACAGAACTCTGGTGGATTTAGTTACAGTCTGAAGCTGCAAGGCATTAAAAAAACAGAAACCCACCCCCCACTCTACGCCTCAGAACGGCACATGGTAAGTCCATTTCTAAAACTAAATTATCGACATGTTTCCTTCTGTAAAAAGCTCACATCCTTCCCTTTTCATGTGGCTGATCAGACATTTCATACTTTGAAGCAGGAGGGCTTTAGATGTTATTAAACAGACGATTGTCTAACAGACGTGCTTTTCATATCTGCAGCGCTTTTTATGACCACTTTTTATTACTTTGTTCTCTGAAAAAAGGTCCCTTTTATTTGAAATTTGGGGTGGGGAAAAATGCATCTGTCTCCTTTATACCTTAAAATAAACCCTTTATGGAAATGCCAAACACCTTCAAGTCCAAAAAAACTGCAGAGTCTCAAAGTGCACACTTTGTTCCCTGTATGGTGAACAGTTAATGCCAAGAACACAAAAGTGAAATCCAGAGATGTCCAGATGTTTTGGAGGACTTCATGCAACTCTATCAGAGATGTCTGAGTGGTAATGGACCAGTTTAACAGGAGGACTGAATGAAACTGTTGTAAAGAAATATGTTCGGTGACAAGAAGGAAGAGTCTYGTGACAAATAGTCTGACCTCCTCGGAGCTCTGATCGGAACATTAAAGAACCAGCTCAAGATTGCAGGAAAAAAGGTGCAACTAAAAAAGTCTACACCCACAACCTGCCAACAACACCTTGAACATTGCACAGAGAACTCACGCAGCATAAAGGCCAAACTGTGATTACAAGTTTGTTTTTTTTATCACMCGCCTCGATGGGTGTAGAGGTAATAATGAGTTTGCTCATGTCTGTATTTGCCTGTTAACAAAATACTTCACAAACCACTGCATGGATATGAATAAAACACACAAAAACAATWAGTGGCTCTACAACTGAGTACTTTTTGAAGTCAGTTCAGTTAAAAATGGTGACATGCGGGGAATTTCATAATTTAAACATTTTTTTTGCCCAAGTGACATCATAAAGAAATGGCTTTTGAAGCAGCTGTTTTACTTTTCTGATTAAAAATAAAATAAAATACAAAAGTAGAAGCAGTT